GAACGATGTGGGATCGAATCCCAGAGGTGGGGACCTGCTCCTGAGAATGCGCTTTGGCTTTCATTGACTCTGCCCTCAGGACAGATAGCTGAAGAGTTCCTTCTGAGCGGAGACATGCTGAGGCAGAGGGGAGCAGAGAGCTGGAGACCAGACTAGGGTAGGTTATTTAGGGATTTACAGGATTTCATCCATGCAAAAGTGAATTGGCAGCCAATGTAGAAAGTGAAACTCAGGTGTAACCTGCTATTGAAAAGGTGCCCACTTATATTATGCATCGTGGCCATGTGTGATGCACTAGCTGAAGGTGTGGCCTTCCAGGTTAATCCTAGCCAAGGTGCTTTGCTCCAACCTTGAGCTAAGAGGCATAGATATCTGTGATGCACTTAGAGGAATGGATGCTGGCTCTTGGCCAGCTGAAGATGAAAGCAAGTTGCTCCAGGCTACTGGTGTCCGTGTGCCTAGGGATAGAGAGGGGACTAATAGGGGGAACGCTGATAAGGCCCTGTGTTAGACTCCCATTTTAAGCAATATCCTTTGTCCAGATCTCAACTATCTTTGGCTCCTCGGAGACTCCTCTGTTCACAAGCTGTGGAAATAAAAGCACAACCGTTTTCTGCTCCTGGTGGCAAGTGTAACCATTGTCAAGGCTGGTTGTTTCTCTCAAATTGCCTGGTGCATGAGATGTTGAAAAGACAGCGCAGTCCCAGATCCAGCAGAAATGTGGAGCTCCAACGTGCTCCTGGATTTTCACTGCAAGGAGACCTTGACAGCCCTGACGGAGATGTGGTGGCAGGCAGGTTGCGTGGGTCTGTTTCTGAATGGGAGGAAGGAATGAGAAGGGTCAGGAAGGAGGGATTTGATGTATATGACTGCAGGGTGGGGCGCCATTAAACCCTTCAACCTCTGAGGTTTCACTGTCTCCATCTCTAATGTAGCGGGTGTGAAAGGACCACTCTTTGCCTATAGCACAACATAGTGTTTACATGGCTTAGGGTCTTTAAAACAAGCTATTAGTGATGCCACAGGAATAGCTAGCCTGTGTAGTCATTACAACCAGTTCATAGATTAATCTCTGATCTAGGTATTAGTTTTCACAAAGTTCTGTACAGTAGCAGATAATGCATGAATGTTATGGCTTAGCTGATTTTCCATTAGCCTTCAGCGCTATGGGCTGTACACACATACCCATCTGGAGGCCACTGATGCAATGATTATTGGTAACTGGGAAGCCTATCATTACAGCCATACACAGGGCATCAGTGTTGCCAACTCTGCAACATCCCTTTGCCCAGCATCCCAGGAGGGGACAATGGCTACTATTTGTACACGCAATTCTGAGCAATGCTTCTGTGCTGACCAGATGTGCACAAGCTGCTGTGAGTGTATTTATGTGTGAGTAAATTCAGTTGGCGCATCTGCCCTGGAAATCAAACATTTGCTGTCAGTTGTCGTCATGCACACGCATTTGGCCGTTTGCTCAGGCAAATCTATTTCATAGTTTGCTTGACTTGCTTTTATAGAAGTCTGGGCCTGTTTCCTGAAAAAGTATCTTCTAGAGTGCCACTGGAGAACACATTTTAAAGGAACAATCAATTATATCGTAATAATCAAAACCAAGGGAGATGTAACAAGAATTGAAAAGACTGAGGGGCTGGGGGGAAGGGTCAGGCATAGAAGGAGAAACAGTAAAGTGGAGAAAACACATGCATGAGATAACATCTGTTCAGGGAAGGTCTGCTATTGCAAGCTATAGCAGACTGTGGCACCACTGAACATTCTCTCTATGTTAAACCTTGACTACGATTTCAAAAATTGTGCAAAAATCTAATAAGCACAGTAGATGGTTTTCTGTGATGATGGAGTATTTCAGATTAATATTAGCGATGACGTCCCAGTGAAAAGCCTTATAGTGATTTCATGTAACTGTCTCAGTCATTACTCTGCCCTTGACTTACCTCTCTATTAACTTGTCATCCCATTTTTCCATCCTGTACGTAATGCATCTTGTCAGTGAATGTTTGACAACTGTTCATTGTTTGTCAGTTCCCAATCCCATTTACACTTACGGAGCTACACGTTGATGAACATAATTTTCTTGACTGCTGAACAGATGGACTTGCATTCATTTCACTCATGATCTTGTTGCTCAGTTACTTTAAAAACAAGCCAGAGCTACCATTTAGAGCGCTATTTACTCTGTGCAACATGAACATGATGTAACTAGACCATGCAAATAAATATACCCATGCAATTATCTTGCTGTCAGCATTGATGAGGCTAGTTCTATGGAGTATTATGTTTTACAAGGTAATTTATGATATGCATGTGTTGATGGCCATGAATATTTCCTGATGAACTTGCTAGGAACTCAGAGTCTTGCTATTGAATTCTGTCATCATTAAGTACCTAACTTTGCTACAGTCCCATATGCTCTGAAACTGCAATGAGTTTTCTTTGGGTAGAATAAAAAAATAATCATGTAAATAAATCCTGCCGCTGGGCTAAGAGTAAACTAATGAACAAGGGGAAACCTGCGAATGTGGCAAAAATCATACAGCCGATGGGTATTATAGTTGCCTTGGACAGCGTTTTGGATGCGTATGGTGCACATAGTGCAGTAAGAGTAACGTCACATTTCTCTTTGCATTAAAACAAGGTAAGACCAGTTCTTTACTTTCCTTAGCGATGCCATATGGTCTGAGATAGACACTAAAAATTGTCCAGCACTGAAATACCTGAGCTGTGTGGCTGCCATCAAGTGCTTTCAGATGCTCGCATGTCCTCAAGCAGCCTGCCTGGCACTTTGAAAAAGAGCTGGTTGAAAGTTCAGGAGAACGAATGAGGCAAGTGTAGGGCCTTGCTCCGGTGAACGCCTATAGACTTGGAAGATGTTCAGTTCATTCCTGGGGACAGACAAGAGGTTTTGGCATAAGCAGGGCCGGCTCTAGGTTTCTTGCCACCCCAAGCAAAAAAATTTTTGGCTGCCCCCCACCCCAGCCCTGGGCTCCCCCCACACCCCCCTGCCGCCCCAGCCCTGGGCTCTCCCCCCACCCCACCTGCACTCCCTGCTGCCCCAGCCCTGGGCTTCCCCCCACCGGTGCTGACTCTGCCCACTCCCCTCTTGCCTCCAACCGGTCCAGTGCAAGCAGCGGGGCTCCTGGGCCGGGCCTCAGCTCAGGGTCCCTCCAGCTGGGGCTCCCACCTCCAGGACCAGCCGGACCCAGGAGGGCAGAGCCGGGGGACTGCCCCGGCAGGGGGCTGAGGAGCCGGGGCAGGGCAGCCCCAGAGGGAGCGGAGCCCCGGAGAGTGGGATGCGGGCCCCACATGGCAGCGCCCTGGGCACTGGTCCCCACTATGGCCCCACTGCTGCTGCTGCTCCTGGCTGCCCTGCTGCAGTCCCTGGGTGGCTTGGGCTGCTTCGCCCAGCCCCGGCGCTGGGGTGCATCCGCCCTGCGGCACCTGCAGGCAGTGCTTAGTGTCTCGGAGCCCGCCTGGCCATAAGGTGCGGGCGCTGCTCCCTGACGCGAACCGCAGCGGCCCCAGGGCGCCCCCCCGTGCAGGACGCGCTGCTGCTGCCAGGGCCGGCTCTAGGTGTGCCACCCCAAGCCAAAAAAAAAAAATGGCTGGCTGGAATGCTACCCCTGAAAATGTGCCACCCCAAGCACGTGCTTGGTTTGCTGGTGCCTGGAGCCGGCCCTGGGCATAAGGATCACCAACTGTAGGGGTTGTGTGGAGTGCATGAGGGACAGCATGCTCTGGAGTGTGACCATAGGAGCCTGGGGAAAAGGAGGCCCCAGACAGGCTGTGTGTACAGTTGTCAGGAAGCTCCATACGAGAGAAAATGGCTGAGGTAATATCTTTTATTGGACAAACTTCTGTTGGTGAAAGAACCGAGCGTTTGAGCAACACAGAGCGCTTCGTTTTCAGGTCTGCATGGTTGGCAGCTTGGCTAGCTGTCTGCGTATGGTCCAGGTGGGTACATACTTGGGCAGCTATCACAACCGGCCCTTTGTGCTACCCTGCTATTTTTAGCATGCTAGGTGACGCCGAGCTAGTGCGGGTACGTCTAAGCGAGCGGGGAATGACCCCCTCCCAGCTCAAATGCAGCCATACCAGTAAGTGACTGCTCAGCAGTGGGCCATGACCCAGCCCATTCCAGGAGCGGGATCAGACGCGGAGCCCTTCAGCTATCAGATTAGGGCGCTCTCAAATTATGAGCGAAATCCTGGCTTTAGGGGTTGGAGCTCTTATTCTTCAGAGAGAGAACGGGTGCGCGGAGGAGTTAGTGGTCGCAGGGCTCACCGCTTGTAAACCAGCCTTGCCATTTCACCTGGGCCACCTTACAGCCCCCTGCTAACCTCCTGTCTCCTGGTCTATGCAGAGGGGACGGGAACCTGCTCGCTTCCAACAGCACCTTTAAAACATGCTACCACAAGCTGATGTTCAAATGCTTTTTCACACTAATGCATTATGGACTCCAAAGGCAAGCTGCTCCTCACAATCCCGTTTGTCCCCACCTGCTTTTGTGGTGCTGTTTGTCATGTTAGTGAGGCTTTGGCTTGTCTGGTGGGAGGCACCCAGGTACAAAAGCAAGTTGGGTTGAGCCCATCTTGCCCATATTGGTTAAAGTGCTGCTTTCATTGGGATAGCTAGAGCCAGGCTTGGATGAACCCAGGAGGCCTGGTAGCGTGTAAAGTAAACCAAGCCAAAAAGAGCCATGAGCCACCAAGCACTGTTGTAGCAGGATTTGTCATCGGGCTAACCTGGCAGACACGCTGGAAGTGGGATTTTAGAGCACCATTTCACACGTATTCTTTAGCACATCTGCTTCTGTAATTGTAATGCATTGGGGAGAATCGGGAAATGTCCAATAGCCCCTATGATTCCCCATTTTCAAGTGCATGTGCGATTTAAAAAATGTTCACTGACTAATCCTGCCAAGAGTTACCAGTGATCACTCCAGTCACCTGCGTAACTAGTCCATTTTTCACCCCTTGCAGATGAAATGAATGACCATCAGAACACATTATCCTATGTCCTGATTAACCCACCGCCGGACACCCGACTGGAACTCAACGATATAGTGTATGTATGAACGTAACACCGAGTGTTTGCCGTGCAATGCAAAACGGTGGGAGAAAATGGCTAAATGTCAGCTGAGTATCTATATATTTATTTTTGAGATTTTTAGCTGACACGGGTCAGTCTCATGCTCTGGGGACCCAGCCGTGGAGGAGGGATGTGGCAAGCGGCAGGAACCTCTGGGGCGGGGAGGGCAGGTAGAGTGGAGGAGGGATGTGGCGAGTGGCGGGAACCTCGAGGGGGTGGGCAGGTGGAGTGGAGGAGGGATGTGGAGAGCGGCGGGAACCTCGAGGGGGTGGGCAGGTGGAGTGGAGGAAGACTTACCAGGCAGGCAGCAGCAGCATGCGGTGGGGGGCCTCAGGGAGGGGAAGACGCTGAGCCTCCACCACAGCCCAGGTGTCCGGCGGGTCAGTGGCAGCTGCACCAGGGAAGGCTAAGCCTATTATCTCCCCCCGCCCCAATGAGAGTACTTGTATTTGTGTAGCAAGTTATTCACATTCTGCCCTGAAGAGGTGCTGCGTCACATCTGCTCATTTATACTGGTGTCAGTCTGGAGTAACTCCACTGAGAGCAACAGAGTTAACGTGAGGGGAACTGAGGGCAGAGAGCTTTGGTAGCTTTCCCCAAGAAAGCCTGTGCTTGGCCATGAGCTGGGTAACACTAATGGGCGTGTTCTGTTTCTCCCAGGTATTTAATACGGTCTGACCCTCTCGCTCACGTAGCCAATGACTCCCACAGTCGAAAAAGCAGCTGCAGTAACAAACTGGAGCCGTGCAATCCTGAAACAAGAGATGAAACGCAGCTCTAAACAGCCTGGCCACTGCCCGCGTCTTCTTCTCATATTGCTACTGCATGGAATTGTCAGAGCCTTTACTATCAACTGTACCCCAGGGCATGGATTCTTTGGGGACAAAAATGGAGTCCAGGTGGAACACTGAAAAGAAAAAAATCCCGTGAACACTAATTGTCAGTGGGTTCCAAGGCCCTGGCAGATTCCTCCGCATTGCACTAAGAAAATGTAATTCCCAACCTGGATTCGAGCGGCTTAGAAATGCCTTGAAAGGAAGCTCTGCAAACCTCGGAGTTAAAGGACAGTTGGCCAAATAAAAGGCTCAAGGATTCATACAGTTATTTGTTTTTAACTTTTTTTTTTTAAATCTATACCGCAACTAGTGAAACAGTCTTCATTGGTACTGGCAGACGTGGCCGCAGTGAGCAGAGACGACAACTGAAACCTGATTGACTAGAAGGCTCGGGCTGAAAAACACCCCCAAACACTGCCGGTCACGTTGTACCCAGTGGGACGTGGAAGTGTCAGGGCGAGAGAGAAAATTATCATGTAGCCTTTTTATTTATGTTTTCAATGGTATCCTTCCCCCTGCAGGCTACCCAACCGTCCTAATGTTCTTCAGCATTTGTTGCCTTGTTTTCCATTATGGGGAAAGAGAGAGATGGGGGAGGGAGAGACGAGACTGAGACATCACTTTTAATTATCCAGATCCAGTTCTGGTATGATAGCAAATCATGCCATTGGAAGCTCCAGCAAGCTGCTGAGGTGGGACAAGAAACCCCTTAAGCTAGAGGGCTGCTGGAAGTGTGTGATTTGTCCGTAGGCGCTGGGGCTCTGAGCCACAGCCATTGTCGAATTACAGCCGTCTACGTTTATCGTTCTGTCAAAAGCCTGTGCCAAATCCACCGTTCCTTTTAAAGTCTCATAAACAGGCAAACTGAGGACCAAAATCATCCCCGTGCTGTGTTCATATCTACATGGAAACCCTGGTTCAACTGGGCCCCCAGGCTCGCACCCACCCCGAGACTTTGCCACATCACCGCATATCAAATACCAGCTCTGGCTGGCAGTATTACGTAAACTGGCAACCGTCCTAGTCTAGCCATACATAGCTGAGGATTAAAGTCTGCTAGGGTACAAGACGCAGTTTTACAAACAAGGCTGCTGTATTCACACACAGATTAGGATAACTGAAGTCTCTTATCTAGATAGACGATAAGTGCAGCTTTAGTGCATCTGGATCGGACGTGGCCAGCACCTCTCTTCTAAAGACTTCATTAAAGCCACAACTAGGGCGTCACTGTCACCTATTTGGCCCTGCAGCCCACTGGAAGGGTTGCTATGGCTGAGCTACAATGCTTTACTCTAAGTGCTTGGTTACAAAGGGCCATAGGCCACTAACTGCCACTTTAGGAACTAAGTCCACTATTAGCTACCCCGGGCCCGCACAAAACTCCTGCTCAGCTGCTGCCTAACCCAGTCGGTGCCTCAACCCACTCGGTGCCTAAATTTTCACTGTAAAAGACCCTACATGCCTAAGATTCTGCTTCTGGGCCATGTGTGCTGTTGCCTTAGTCTGGGGGGGCTGGATACCTGTGCCCCAGGGGAAGCGAGGCCTTATCTCACCGGCCAAGCCCAATCCAGTAGGTGCTCAGAGGGCGCCCAGGAGAGTGGCTCCCTGGCCAGAGGCCGTAGTGGTGCCGGCCCCCATTTTATAGCTCAGTGCTTAGCACCCTCACCTAAGATGGGAGCCCCAGCTTCAGGTTGAGGGGGAGAAAGGCTTGGAGCAGGAGAGTGTTCTGACACTGAGCTATGGGATGGCGCGAGGGGCTTTGGCTCGCTCTTCCATGTTGGATAACTAGAGTCATTGGCAGAGGGGAACTGGCTCTTGGCTCTCCCACCACTCAGAGTTGGGGGGGGGGACCCAAGGCAGCCATCTCAAGCACTCGTGCTCAGTGGGCCAGTGGTTATTTAAGCCCAAGTGGACCAGGCTTTAACAAGCTAGACTGTGGGAAACCCACCTGAGAGTGTCCCATAGCTGAGGGGTAGAACGCATCCTAGAGAGGTGGAAAACCCATGTTCAACTCCTTTCTCCCTACCACGCAGAGTGGGGAATTAACCCTGGGGAATGTGGGTCTCCCACAGCCTGGGTGAGGGCACTAATCACTGGGCTGCAGGAGGGGCAGGGGGGCACAGCAGCAGCTTCGCTACCTGTAGGAGAGGGTTCACACCTGTGACTTCCACGCAGCGCTAGACACCTCATTGCCACCCAGATTTAGGCACTGACCTCCTTGAGAGGGGTGGGGGTCTATAGTACCCTTCTCATTGCCCTCTCCCATTGACTAACCTCAGCGGCTTCCCTGCTCCGTGCGCTGGCTTTTGTGGAATCCACTCCTAGGTGCCTCTCTCTTCCCAGTCATTGTAATAGGGAGCCAAGGCTTCAAATCAGCCCTTGTGATGCTCAGTGATTTTTCTAGGTGCTTAAAAGTTACCCTCGCACTGTTCAACAGGCAATGCCCAAGTCTCTTTGCAACTCTGGTCCAAAATTTAGTCAATAGGCCTCATTTCATAAGAGTCCATGTCTACAAACACTAACACATATAGGTAGGTTATGCCAGCGACCTCATGTCGTTACAGGACTAGGCCCTAAGAGAAAATTGGGGGCTCCAGGAGGGAATTTGGGTGCAAGGCTGGGGTGCAGCAGGGGGTTTGGGGTGTGGGCTCTGGGAGGGATTTTGGGTGCAGGAGGGGGCTCAGGGCAGGGGATTGTGGGGGTGCAGTGCTTATGTCAGGAGTCTCCCAGAAGTGGCGACATGTCCCTCTGGCTCCTAGGTGCAGAGGGGGCCAGGGGCCTCTGCGTGCTGCCCCTGCAGCTCCCATTGGCCACGGTTCCCTGCCACTGAGAGCTGACGCTTGGGGCAGGGGTAGCGCGCGGAGGCCCCTTGGCTGCCCTTGCACTTAGGAGCCGGAGAGACATGCCAGCCGTTTCCAGAAGCCGCGTAGAGTCGGCGTCGGCCCGGAGGTCCCTTTTCAAAGGGGCCTTCAGACATCTGGCAACCCTACACACTGTAACAGGTCACAGCAGGGCTGGCTCCAGGGTTTTTGCCGCCCCAAGCAGCGCAAAAAAAAGACAATCTGGTAGATTCATTTTAATTCCTTTTACTGTATCACCAAATCTTGCCCTTCACGAAGTGTCCAGCTGCTGTAGTCACAGAGGCTCGCTTGAAAGATGCTGCTGAAATTCAACAACTCCCCTACACCCTTCTTTTATCCCCTTAGTACCCCAGCCTCCTGGCTGTGCAGTGTGACACCCCCCCCCACCTCCCCAGTTCTGGCCAGGGCCAAGCTGGGACTCCAGCTGTGGCTGATCAGCCTCATTTCTCCAGCTGGTGAAGTCTGGCGGGGTACCTGCAATCGGCCTTGTTTCTGCTAAACATTTCCCAGCAGTGGGCAGGGCCCCTAGCAATGGCTCCTGGCAGCTACAGCTGTTTTAAGCACCACATTGTCTAACCCCTCTCACTGCAGGGGCTACAGGACGTGGTGCATAAAAACACCAACAGCCACCCGCCCCTTGTCTATGCCAACACCGCCCCTGTGACTAGCACTGGGGGAATTGAACAGATGTCAGCAACAGGGAGAAAACAAGTATGCAAAGACCAGACCATGCCGCTTCTTCAGCATGCTCAGCCTCTGCCGGCCCAGGGAGTACAGAAGGTAACTGACTCAGGAACAAACTGCAGGTCTTTCTCCTGGCACTAAACTGTAAGTGCTGGAGCAAACACCCAGCCCAGTTCATGCCCTTTAGTCATTTTAAAAAGGAAGATTAAAAAAAATGAAGAGTTTATAGAGACTAGCCCCCGAGGTTGAAGACTGGGGCCTAGAGTCAGACTCCCCAGTCCATCGTCAGACACCTAAGTAAACGTGGCCTGATTTTTAATGGTGCGGGGCACTTGCAGCTACCATTGAAGTCCAGGCAAGCTGCACTGCTGAGTCTTGAGCAAAGCCGGCCCTTCACCTCTCTGCTCCTTCGTTTTCCCTCTAAAACTGGCCTGGACACTGGGAGACACAAAGATGGCTAAAGCCATCACAGTACATGCATCCACATACCTCCCTCCTACCCACTTTCGTTTCCTGGTAAATTGCATTAAATGCTCCTTCGCCACAGCTCCAGCGCACTTATGAATTACGCTGAAGCTTAATCTCATGAAAGCCAAAATGCAACAATTAGTATGAATTTAGTGTTGCTGTTGCCACACCGTCGCTTATTTTCTATGCTGTTTCTGCACTCGTGTTCTTTGCTCTTGTTAAGGGACAAGTCTCTTATCTAAAAAGCTCGCCCCTCTTTTAAATAGCAATTTCTTAACAGCAAAATCCTGTTAAGTTTGAGAAGGGTCTTTCCAGTCATTCCCCTTAACTCATTTACTGATCGACTGCAAGCTCAACCTTTGATGGTAATAGACTTTGTTCAGGCTCTCTCAGCATTTAAGGTACCAAAAATGTTAATATCTTTGTTATGAGCCTCAGAGACAAAGTTCTTTTATATCGTTTTATAATTGGGTAAAACTATATGTACAAGTAGCTTTTGCCTACAGTAAAGATGTGAATGTACAGAATAACCTTACAATACCAGTCAGCATAGTACAATCTGGCCAATTCCTATTAACAGGTGCATTGACTAAATAGTAAAGAACTTTCTATAGCAGAAAAACAATGTATTTTTCACCTATTTTTGCACACTTTAAACTGTTGATGTGTAAATGGTTTATTTGAATGCCAAGGGACTAACAAAGTTGTTGACTTTATATACTTTTAAATTCATATATTAAAACAAGAGATTTTTGTGAAAATCCTGTAAAGCACAATGACAATGTCATGAAGTTCCACTGGACATCACTGATTGGTTGACCAGGGATTGAAAGATGAATGGACACAGCAGCTTTGTTTATTTTCACAAAACATCTGCCATTCATTCCCACACAATAAAAGTTGTTTGCTAAACGTGTTGTTTAAAATTGCAGTTTTAAACAGCCAATAAAAATACAATTTAGTGCTTAGAGAATTGTGCAAAACCAGCAATATCTCTGTGTCCAAAGTCCAAAATCATCAATAAGGTGTTAACCTATGATTCATTTCCTGAAAAATCCTAATATCGGGCATTTGCAATCATGGGGTAACCAGTATAAAAAACGATTTCTCCCTTACAGATGAGACAATTCCTCCAGCTTTGCCTTCCACTCCTGACTCTGATAATTTTGTATCATTGTCAGTAAACCATTTCATACAGGTATTCCAATGGCACCTGAGCTTCCGTTGTAGAGCCACCCCGCTTGTAAGACTATTCTCAAGTGGCTATTGACACATTAAATAATACATTATGAAAGGAAGAAAAGCTTTGGCTGGAGCTCCCTGCTTAAATGCCTTCCTGACCCTGAAATTTAATAGCATGGGGACAAGCACTGTAGTTCAAACTCTCTCATTGGTGTGGCCTAGAAACGTGCCAATGAAGAAAAAGGCTTTTTCAGGCCACCCTGCCACAGAGCTCAGTTTTGCAGACTACTGCCACAGGGCAGAGTGCTCCAGAGCCTGGAGCAGTGAGGAGATATCAAGGAAAGAGCCTGGCATGCTGTACATTAAAGTGCCAATTTTACATCATCCTCAATTCCAGGTTGCATACTGCACCCCTCCCTATAGCATCGCGGTGGGAAGGAACGTTTGCTGGGTTACGCATTCTCTATACAAAGCAACAGAGAGTCCTGTGGCACCTTTAAGACTAACAGATGCATTGGATCCGACGAAGTGGGCATTCACCCACGAAAGCTTATGCTCCAATACATCTGTTAGTCTTAAAGGTGCCACAGGACTCTGTTGCTTTTTACAGATCCAGACTAACACGGCTCCCCCTCTGATACTATTCTCTATACAGTTTGCCCATCTCTGTGTCCTTGTGGTTCAAGTTGCTTGTACTAGGCAGCCCCACTGCTTGCTTTCTCTCCAGCCAC